TTTAAAAATATAACATAGTGGAATATATAAGTTATAGAGAGAGTATATCGTTTCATGTGAAGCATCCTTCCCCACTAAACAGCATGGCCAACCCAGAAACATATGGAAATCTAAGTGCTACGCTTAGAATGTCATGTACTCGACGGCGGAATAGCTTTAGCTAGAAAAGCTCATCTCGATTCCTGCCATCCTTGGCGAAGCATTATAGCTAGGACTTCAAGTAATGACAAAAGACCGCAGAAATACTTTTATCTTCGACACACGTGTGATATGTAACCATAAGAAGTACTAAGTACTAGTTGATATCATTTGCCACTGCTAGCAGGAGGTGGCCGACCCGCACTGGCCACAGGGCTACGCTGGAGGCGTTCAATCTTTGATATGCAAATGAAGGAAAAAGCTTGCCATGAACGTCGGCACTGGACGGCATTATGAATAGAAGGGTCATTATCAATGACAGGATGGCGTGCAGCCTTAGATAGCGTAGTACCTTACTTAAATACAGGTACAATCAAATCTTTGCTCTACTTTTACCAGTGCTCGTAAGCGTTGACGATCCGAACTCATCAACCTCAAAGGTTAGACTGAAGCACCTTTCTACGGCCCTAACGATTGCAGTGCTCATACAAGAAACCATTCGCTGTATGACCGTACGACAGCTGTATCCACAAGATATACAGACCCTTTCCACCTTTGTACGTGCTTGCAGCGATATCGTCCTTCCAGTAATACTCGCTCTACTTCCCAAAGCCTAGACTCGGAGACTGGTATTTTGTATAATGCTATACGCGTTGTATAAGACACGCGCACTCTGTTCTTTACACGCCATATAACTCATGATATTCTCATTCAGCAAGCTGAAGCGGTGTTTGGCTACTGCTCGGTATATGTATCGTGTGCGATGTAATTGAGAAGTACGAGGACGTAGTAGGATGGACGAGGGATCCACGGCGGGTCTGCGGAGCTAGGGGGCGACGCAATAGTTCGTCTCTATGGCATGTTAGCTCTCGCGTTAGCTATGGCCGTGCTTACACGTCATCTTGAAGTTGCACGATGGCTGTATCGGAAGCTAGTTACGGTTGCGGCTTCGATGCTGGGTGTGTACGAGCCTTCAAATTTAGCTCCTATCCTGGCGCGCTTGGCAAAAGCGCCACACAGCCACGCAGCCACAGTTCTAGCGTCAGCAGCGATAGATTACAGCTAAGCTACTTTAAGCTAGGTCTGCGGGGCCTCTTTATCTAGCATATCTAGCAGGCGGACTTAAAATTAGCATAGAAGCACGATAACCTCTCGAGCTCGAGTGCAGTACTCGGGATAGGATAATAATAAAATAAGCTGTATATTAACGGACTTTCGTTAAGATGTATAAGCTTTTAAAGCACCTACTATTAGCTAAAGCGAGGCGGTTATGTAACGCTTGTACTAAATTGTTGTATTATATAGTAAGTAAAACTTATTTCTAAAAGATACTAGGAGAGAATAGACTATATAGCTTAAGGCTACTATTCCGAGAATATCTATTCTTCTAACTTATTGTTGCGTTTGTTGTGTTGGGGAGTGTCTGTGGCGTCCCGTTACGCAGGGTGTCCCGCCACACAGGGATGGACGTTATATACGTTTGAAGCAATGTAAATTTTGTGTTGTATCCTCTGCACCCGTACACGATTAAGCTAAGCCTGGTTAATTACATTTATATGTTAACAAGCGCTACCAGCTCAAGCCCAGCAGACGAGCTCATGATATATAAGGTAAGCTCCTTAGTGTCTATAGTGATGCAAATACAAAGGTCACCTGAACTCAGTTTCCAGTTCCTGTTTTCTCCTCTATAGCATATAAATAGAAACACGTACTTGGTAGATAGCCAATGACGAATACTGTTTAACTGGTTAGTCATGGCGATTGACTGCCCCGCTTTCAGACGAGTTAAAAGGTCCTCTGAACCGCCTTAACTAGTTACACCAACCACCTGAAAATTATTCAGATAACTTCGATCAAGGTTGATATTATTACCGCTAGTCAAGCCACTGTCAACGTCCATTTCTTGGACCATTGCTATGTGCGTTATGTCTAGCAGTTTCTGCCAATGAAGCTAACAAAAGACAAGGTGTCATCGAAGAAGCTCGGTTATCATCGTAGCTACTGGCAATGATATTAGAAGGCAATCGACTGTGGTTACCGTGGATTGCCAAAAAAGCGACTGCGCAGCATCGGCAAGGAACCCCGCAAACAATGGCACCACGAATGAGGCCGCCTTGAGTCAGATGCTTCGTGGAACAAGATCCTAGGCTGCGACAGAATATAACAGAGTACAGAGGTTTGAATACTAGAACCTCCAATGGTTTCATTCACCATCAGCAGTCGTAGTTGCAGGTGTTGAAAACGATCATAAGATGGACGATAGATTGGATATATGACATAGCTACTCTGTGCAGTTCATGGTTTCTTCTCGAAGGTGAAGCTAAAATAAACTAGGCTATGTACATGAACAGCGACTACCGTCGAGATTAGCCCCTACTTAAACTTTTCTTGGTTTCTGATCCTTCAACCAAATCCAAAGTTCACCAAGTGCATCTTCGTCATGCTGCTGTGATGAAGTTTCCCACTGTGGATTACCTGCTATAATGAGACGATCGCCGAAGGGACGGCAAGAGCCCATATCTGCTAGGATCCATGTGCCATCCTCATCAACCATGATGTTGCTTGCTTTGATGTCATTGTGAGCAAGCCCGAGAGCATGAAGGTGCATCACCCCAGTCTTCAGTCTATCAAAACCTAACTTCAAGTCAATATTGCCGCCACCGTTAAGCACACATTCTTCCAATGTGCGAGGATAACGTTGCAGAACGAGACTAACGATACGACCTCGGTAGACGTGGCAGCCTCGATAACGAAGGATATTAGGGTGGGGGTTTCGTTCAATCTGCTCCAAAGTTTCAGCCTCTTGCAGCAGTAGCCGTGCTATCATCTCTGAGCCACCAATTTCGTCGTGAAATGTAAGTGCTGGCCCTTTGACAAAGCAACCGCTATCTATTGTCGTAATCCTTGTGATATGTGACGGTGCTTCTGGGAACACATCTTTATCATGAACTAATTTCAAGCTTTCATTGACGGCTTCAAGTGTAAGCTTCCTCATCCTTGACCGGCCGCAATAAACAGTGTGTTCCTTCGTGATAAAGAAGAATGTTGAGTGCGAAAACTTCAGATTGCCATCGTTATCGATTGTGCTGTGATTGCAGATCTGTAGTTCTTCAAGGGATTTTACAAGAGCGTCGACCTGATAAGAACGCCAGGTCATTCCAACCGCAGCAAGCCGTCGGATATTGCTAGTGACCCAAAAGAGGACATTCCGAGCGACGCCCAACGCGAATAGAGCGATCGCAAGCATCAGAACATCATATAAATTCTCTTTTTATGAGTTCGAGTTCGAGATAGCCGACGAAAAAGAGGGCGCGATGGTAATATTTACTCGGTGGTGGAAGCGATCAAGTCGGTAGTCTTATAAGGCGTCAGTAATATCGCAGAGGTGGAGCGGTTAGAATGAGAATGAGCGTACTGTGGATTGAAACCCTGAAATTTGGATAACTCCCAGTCAGCAGTTTGTGCAGCGATTTGGGTGTGGTAGAGTAGTGATTGCGTGATGATGGGCGATAGATAGGGAGCTTGGTGCTGCGCGCACGGCCTTTGCAGCACAGGACAGGTGAGAGGTGATTCGTTCATAGCAGACTAGGGTCTTGTCGCGATCCTCAGCGAGCCCCGCCCTGGTGGCGAATGTACTAACCTTCTCGCCAACCCAGACGTACTGCTGATAGACTGCACGTACCGGACGAACAGATATAAGCTTCCACTGCTGTACATCCTTAGCTACAGTAATCTCCAGACCTTCTTATCCGCAGGTTTCTACTTTCTCAGCAGTGAAACACAGGTAGACTACCATTAGGCGATCGCCAATTTTCTTCTCAAGATAGAAGTGCAACCCCTATAGGTATTTATTAGCGATCAAGAAGAGGCATCAAAGATAGTAGCTCGCTCGCTACTTCTAGAAGTGCCTCAATTATTATATATATAGTATATCAGCAAGAATATCCAGGCGAAGGCATAATAGGTCTGGCGGGACGCTAACGGTCGGACGAAAGAGAAGAAACAAAAGATCATAGAGTATAGAAGTGCTTTTACAAAGCGTTAGACTCAGTTATACCTTTAATGTAGCTTAAATAACTATACAAAGATCTTATAGACTAAACATCGCTCATAGAGCTGACTAGAGCAGCTTATTCATGCGAAAAGACCGTTAGAGTTTTGATTAAAGTGGAAGGAACTACTTAAGGGTTACAGTCATTAGCAAGAACTATACAGATACTTGCAAGACAAATAGTATCTTACACGTACTAAGTAGGCAGCTGCTTAGACCCTCTTATTATCGCCACTATAATATAATCACAAGCTCGCCCGCTAAAGGGATACATAAAGTATTGGAAGACTATCTTATAACCTCTAAAGGTGACTTGTTGCGCGTTTTTGAGCGTATTTAATAGATAGCAAAGAGCTAACACAATAAGTATAGGAAGGATCTTGCTTGCTCCAAGTATAGTGTTAAGCTTGAGCATAGGATAGAAGCGATGCCGTTCCTGCCTTCCGGCATTCATAATATTCTGACGCCGCCAGCGATCGAGCATAGTAGGTAGACTTGGGAACAATCAATTCAATCAATCTAGCCCTCCCAAATTGGATTGATTGATTCTCCAGCGACGTTGAAATTGGATTGATTGAATTGGGTGAAACAATCAATCGTCAATCAAGCGAATCAACAGATTGATTGTTCCCAAGTCTACCTAGTATAAACCACTCATCCACATTTTTCTATATTTCCTTGTTTTGCTCAGCCTCCAAAAACTCCCACACTTCAGTGTGCCCTTCTATCCTTGCAACATCTGCAGCAGCATGTCCACCTTGATTCTTGATAAGCAGATTTGCTTTCCATGACACTAGTAGCTGCACCACGTCTAGATACCCATAGCTCGCAGCCCATATCAAAGCTGTACGCCCATAGCTGTCTTGACGGTCGATTTGGACGCGACGGCTCGAAAGAAGCGTTTCCACAGTCGCTGGAGATTCATTAAAGAGTGCCCACAGTAATGGTGTCCAACCGTCAATATCGACGTCGTCCTCACCGCCGCATTTGTTCTTTAGTAAAATGCGCAAAGTGTCAGTATGCCCCCCTTGACATGCCCAGGAGATCGCATTGCGTAAGTCCTTATCTTTTGCGGTTTTGTTGACTCCTGTTTTGTGCATCAAAGTACTCACCACTTCTTTTTGATTATTCCTTGCAGCCCACAGCAGTGGAGAGAGCCCTTTGATATCCCTCAGATTCAGGTCGATAGAGGGGTGCTGAAGTAAGACTTTCAGAGCTCGTCTCGCGCCCTCCCCTGCAGCCCAAGATAGTACTGAGCGCCCATGTTTGTCAATTTGATTGATATCGATTGACGGCTGTTTGAGCAATAGTTGCACAATGTTCGCATGATCTCCTATTACAGCCCAGAAAAGTGGGGTCCAATGTGCGCTATCCTGGTCGTCTGATGTGACCGCTCCATGTTTTAGCAGGATTTCAACAATCTCCAGATGTCCATTCCCTGCTGCAAATGATAGTGCTGACCTTCCGGATTTGCCTCCAAAAGTAACGTCCGTGGATGGCTCGTCAAGAAGTATCTGTACAGCATCCAGATTACCATACTGCGCGGATATAGTCAAGGGTGTTTGTCGGTCGATACCAATTCCATTAGGGTTTGCCCCATGCTGAAGTAACACTTTCATACACTTCAGTGAGGACCTTCTCGCTGCCCAGAACAGAGCCTGAGTTTTTCTTGCATCACTGTCAAACTCAGCCTGCTCTATAATCTCAATAAGCAGTATAGAGAGGTTGAAAAATGCGGCTACTTCAATGGCCTCAAAAACATCTGGAAACGAGTATTCCATATTGCTCATAAACCAGTAATATTTCAGCCAGTTTGTTAGAACACAACTAGAATTCGTCGTTAATTCCTTGGCGGCATCATGGACAGACTTTGGAGCGATGTCTTCAGATAACGAGTAGTGCTCTGCCCAATGAGTTGCAGCATAATCAAAAAACTTGTACTTCTGGGCTGCCAGAACACATTGCTCCTCGTCTAGCTCGCGTGAGTTTTTGAAGAAGTTTTCTAGGCCGAGGTGATCGTCTAGGCCGAGAGGACCGTCTGAAGCTATTGTGTCGAAATCGTTCAATGGGAATGAGCCATATGATTCAGGTGAGTTGGTCCCCAGGCTCGTTCTTTCTGAAGCAAAAATGTCCAGTTGGAATTCCTCTAAGAGGAGGTACTGTACACATGATTGGGCTATTTCCAGGGCTGCGTTTGTAGAAGAAATCGCAAGACTCTGCACTGTTCTGTCTGAGGAACGAAGTGCGAGATCTGTTAGGTATTCTTTTGCGGACTGATGTACAAGCGAAACTTGTGATTCCTGATTGGAGCTTTGATTTCTCTCTCTGATGCGGACGAAAGAACCTACGACGTTCTGTAGCGTTGTGCTAATAGAAAGCTGTAAATCATTTGCCACATCGGCTATAGATTTGTGATACTGATCAATTGAAAATGCAGTATTAATCTCCAGTAATGTCAAGTGCCTCGAGCACCCAACGAGTAGACGTAGAATTTTCCCGGCATCTTCTCGATTCCCGACTGAGATTCCGCGTAGGAATCTGTTATAGGTAGCCTCAAGACTCTGTGGGAATGTGTCGATAATTCGTTCGAAATCTCTCTTTGACGCTTTTGAACTCGTTTCCAAGCTATGTAGTACCATATTCAACCAGAGAAAGCTCTGATCAGACTTAGAATATAGTACTTGCTCCAAATAGTTCCTCGTCTCATCATCGCAGTTAAACTTTTTTGCAATATCGCCAACCTTGCTTCGAATGACCAGCTTCACGTCTTCACTGACAACACCCTGATCTTCCTCGATTGGTATTCTGTTCTTCATCAATCCTGTGAGATTGTATGAGTTTCCGAGCGACGGGCGACTGGTTATTAGGAATTTGACGCAGTTTCTAGACTGTCGATATACATCCTGAGACTCGTGTACTAGCTGCGCTATGGCGTTCAAGAAGCTGTTACGCGTCCTCACTTCACATTCATCAATTGCATCCACTATGACTCTGACGGCGCCTGCCGTGGAATTGGCGACTATCTTTAGGAAAAGTTCCCAAAGCGCCTGGAAGGAGTTTGCGAGGCTAGGTCCGTCGATTTCGAAACGAGACTTAACATATTTGATGAGTTTTCGGTGCTGCTGGACGATTTGATACAGGATGCCTCTGAGTATAGCGTTTGCATCTCTCTGAGACTTAACTTTATCGTCGCAAAAGAAGAAAAAGACTTGAGGTTTGACTGAAGTAGCATGGTCTAGTCTTAGGTGATCTGTTAGATATGCAGAAAGCATGGTTTTGCCACAGCCTGGTTCACCTGTGATCCAAAGTAGTTTTGTTTCTTCAGTTGTTAGCCAGGCCAAATACGCAGGGTGGGTTAGAATCCAGCTACAAGTTCCCTTTACCGGCCTTGGTAGTTGCGCTTTATACTCCGCAAGGTAGATTGAATTCAGCAGAACCATACAAGATCGTTCAGTTTCGCTTAAAGCTGATGAACGGCTTAGCTGGTACGACTATGTGGTTCGATATTCATTACATACACTGATTGGACGATGTGCGGTCAACTTTCCTTGCCATTTCTCGGTTTAGGAGGGCTGTCTTGGCTAAGCGTTTTATGACATTCAAAGTGCAAATGTAACCGCCATCTGTTGCACCTCCAAAACGGCACATTGTTCTGTGATTCGCATAAAGAGGTATGACTTCTTCGCATGGTATTTCCATTATGGCAGAACCTCGATGGACTACCTGTATTTGATAGTACGTTAGGCGCTGCTTTATAAGTATATATTTTCAAGAAGCAATCTCACAAGTTCAGAAAGCCCAGGCATCATCTCCGTTTCGTAGAAGGTAACGATCTCTAAGTTCCTCAGACGGTTCCGGGAAGAAACAGCAAGATCGTTCAGCGCTTGCGAATTAGACTCCAAGATGGTGAGAAGGTCGTCTCGTATGGACCCAGATATGCCTGTAATTAGTGATGCGCGCATACACATGTTGACAACTCTTCCTATCATCTTCCCAACATCGGCCACTGTCGAACCACGATGTGGTGTTCCGAAGAAAACAATAGCTGAAAAAGCAGATATCGTGTCACCATACAGATGGTCGTTTTCATGTGCTAGAACAAGTGCCTCAAAGATGGGTTAGAATCCCGTTGGTACAGTAATGTCGAACTTCTCACCTGCTTACACACTATGCCACCTAGACTATGACAGACAAATATTATCGGGCGCTGTCTTCTTTCTGGAACAGCTGCGAGAGAGCTTAGAAGATTCCCAGAATAGTCTCGCAATTTGGCTACTGAGTTACTCCAAAAAAGCTCAGATGGATACCCGTAGGTATATATACGAGACCCAGGAAGGTCCCTCTGGAGCAGATCACGGAGCCACAAAGTTCCATTCTCGTGTTCCCATGTTGTGTAAGCGTTCCCATTCAGGCCATGTATAGCCACGATATCCACACCTCTATTGTCTTTCGAGTCGTCAGGCAACGTGTTTTCGTTAAGAAGGAAGAGTCCGTAGCGATCTTGGTGTTCGGTGACTGGCGCCGGAACCTGCGAGGGATGCTCCCCAAGAGGTTTCTAGGAGATTCATGTCATAAGTTGCTTCTACAGTTTGTTTAGGATGCCGGTTCGGACATGTACTAACCTCGGGAGCTAGCTCTTTCCGCTTAAGTTTCTTTAATCTCTTGCGTAAATCGAACATCACGTACGGCCGAAAAGGTCTAATATAAGACGAGACGACAATTAACCTATGTTAAACAAAGTCGTGAGAAGTAGACTCGAACTGTTGTGATCCAGGGCAGGCAGAGTTGTGTGAATATCTTTCCTTAGCCGCGCACGCCTGTGCCGCAGGTTCACCACACTAGCCCCACTTCGTAATGATATGCTCGTTCTTGTTGTGCGCTCGGATATACGGGTTTGTGGGTAGCTTAGCCAATCACGATCTTACATTAAGCGCAGGGCTGGCGTGATCTCTTCTGTATACTGAACCTGATGTCTTTTGAGACTTCGAATTTCGTATTAGAATCAGCGACTATATACGAAAGTAAGATTGCCGCATACAATGTATTGTCATTTGTACGAAGTCTACTGATATAAGAATCACGTTGACTTGGAAGCTCCAAAATTGCGAAAACATTTGATGATGTCCGTGCACTCTGAGGGGCCGTGCGCTAGTAGATGAGGGGTAACCTGATCCTCTGTCTCCGCAAAACTGTGCAATCTAGCATCTAACACTATCATCATCATGGCTATGAGCAGGCTAGTGATTTCATTTTGATGAAAATGTTTCCTCAATTCTGACAGCATCAGGCTATCCAACAAAACCCTGGTTGTCGCTGGCTCCGGGGCCACCATGGCCACAGGAAATCTGATCTACATGGTAATCCTTTTCCAATTCTCGATCGTGGAATTTCGGCTTACAGACAATAGCTTGGTGGCATAAACTTGCAAGATCTCGACAAGCTGCATCAAAAGAGCATAAACTCTTACGAAAAAGCTGTGCAGGAATTGAAAGACGCCAACGAGCTGTACTTCTACACCCCGCGACATAGGGTTACTGTCAAAGGTAGTCTTACCATCATCAGCTGAACCTGTATTTTACTGCGTGCGCCGTTGACATGATGTGAAGATCGAACCGAATCTGCTGATGGCCTTCTTCTCGTTGTAACGCCGCCTCTTCAGGCAGCTGACGGATTTTTTACTCAAGATATTGTTGATGAGGTTAAAAGCTTGGAGTCGTTCTTTATGAAAGGGAAAGCTATAATCCTGGTCAAGACTCCGTATGATAACCCTATTTCTCTCTTGACCTCTTCTCAGCATCTGACTTGTGTTGTTAAGCGAAACCCATGAGCGGTCGGAAAGCGAATACAACGATTTAGTGCGAAGTATAAAAGCTGCACTTCAGAATCTTGGCATATCGGCTGAAAGGTACATATGTAACAGTCTCCAGACTATCGGAATTACCACTTACTTAGTATAGTACTCCTTTCATTCCAAGCAACCTTCACGGCGAGAACTTTATCGAACTCTCTCCCAAGACACCTTGGTATAACAGTGTCACGTTGGTTACTAGTCTAGATGAGATCTTGTAATGGGTTTTTTTTGTGAATAAAGATTTTCGAAGCGTCAGTGTATTCAAGAAATAATATTCCAAGACCGATGAAAGTCTCAAAATATGAGCTTCAAGGCCTGAAAATACTCTTAGCGTACTGACATAGCAGGTTTCGAATAACTACTTAGCGGCCTGCATTATACACCTGCGCTATACCAAGACGGCTCGGGCTGTGGCACAAGGCTCAAAGGCCTCGTCCAGCCATCACTTACGTGCGTAGTCGTCTGCTGCCTATTCTTATAAATCAGCTAGGGGTAGACACTACGGCATTGACACTATGTGCGTGCCGGTTAATATAACCATAGACCTACCTTTACACAAGCAAAGAAATACAAAGGCTACCAATATTCTTCCATTAGTTATTCACAATTGCTCATCTAGATTGCCTGACAAAACCATATCCTCCCTGATCCTGCTCCCATGCCTACTAGAGCCCCACTCACAGCCGAGCGTGATGGCCGATACTCAGACGGTATCCATAGTATGTTACTTCCGGCTCGCACAATCCAAACACTATCTGGACTTAAACTGACGTCTTGGTGATGTGGTTTTAATGCTGCCATGTCTGCGCTGCTAGAAGCTAGAGGAGAAGGAATAGCGATGGCGCCTACTGCTGTGTAAAGGTGAGTGCCAGCAGAGTCGAAAGATATGTTCAAAAGAGTCCTGCCG